ATATAAAACTCAATCTTGTGTTTTTTTTTTATCAAACCCTCGGTCTGAATTTGTAAATATATATGTCAGAAGTTCCGACAGAAGAATCCAATTCCTGTAGGTACTTTTTACCTCATCATTGTGTCATGAAAGAGGACAGCACCACCACTAAGCTTCGCGTCGTTTTTGATGGATCAGCGTAAACTTCTTCAGGATACTCCTTAAACGATATTCTGATGGCTGGTCCAGTGATTCAGACAAAATTTTTTCAGATTCTTTTTCGTTGGGCTTCTTCGAGTCGGTTGAAGAACTCTTCGTTGGATTTCAATGGCCTCTGTGTTCAAGGCCTGTGTTGGCCTTTTATTCCTCAGCGACGACCACACCAAATCAGTGTTGGATTTTTGCCTGGTGGAGAATATCGAGTGGCGTTTCATTCTGCATTCAAGCTGCAGTAAAGACAGCTAAGCATTACTTTTATCGTGCTGTGGGCTTTTCTATTCTGACCTTCGATGAGCTGAGAACCCTTCTTTGCCACATATCTGTGGTAGTTAATTCTCGACCTTTAGTATCAAATTCAGAAAACCCTGTTGATCTTGATTTTTTAACTCCAGCCCATTTTTTTAATGGTGGCCCGCCTTCATTATTAATCGAGCCAGATATGACAAATTTAAACTTCAATCGCGCTGGACCTTGGTCTCAAGCCTGCCAAGGGCACAGAGGTCGAACGGTAACGGTGTGGACTTTGGTCGAGCACAAAGAGGACGCACCGTTAAATAACGGGACATGGGTTGGACCTTGTACCCGAGCTGGCCGTGCGCAAAAGGGGAAATACTGGATCGCCGCGGCCTATAAAAGGGACGGCGCAAGCGCAGCTCGGGACAGTCAGCTAAACACGCGCAGTCCCGACGCGGCCGCGCGACAGGCAGTCAGTGAGAATACGCGAGGAGCTGTATCCTAGGTCCGACAGTCAGTGAGAATACGCAGGAAGCTGTACCAGAGGCCTGACAGTCAGTGAGAATACGCGAGGGCTGTATCCCAGGTCGGCAGTCAGTGAAAATACTCGAGGAGCTGTATCCCAGGTGCGACAGTCAGTGAGAATACGCGAGGAGCTGTACCCCAGGTCCGACAGTCAGTAAGAATACGTGAGAAGCTGTACCCCAGGTCCGACAGTCAGTGAGAATACGCGAGAAGCTGTACCCCGGGAAAGTCAGTGAGAGAACGCGAGAGTAAGCGAAGAGCTATACCCCAGGACAGGTGAACAGTCAGTGAGAACGCGAGACACGCAGAAGGACGGTCCCTGCAAGTGGAGAACTGGGCACGGTCAGAAGGGTCAGTGGAGTCAGTAGTCGGCAAAGGTAGTCCGATGAAGAGCGTCAGCTTGACCTAACGATACACCTCTCCACCATAACATCCCAAGCCTTAGCCTAAGCACTGGACCACTGTCGAGGCCGCCGCAAGACAACGAAGGATATCAGGCAGCGCACAGGAACCGGGCACGGTCAGAAGGGACGGTGGAGTCATTGGTCGGTCAGCTTGACCTAACAGGCGATACACCTTCTCACCATAACTTCTGAAGCCCCATTCGAGCCGGCACGGGTTAGCGGTCGTGAACAAGGGAAGGACGGCGAAGGAGCGACGCCGCGCATTACGTCCTCGACGGCCTCGAGGACTGTAAGAGTCTATCATTGAAGAAGTCTGCAAATAAAGCTGATTGAACATAAAACTCTGTCTTCTCTTTTGTCGGGCAATCACCCAAATCAAAAATTTGGTGGGACGAACAAACAAACTCCCTGAGCTACCCGTTGCAATTCGTAGCGAGCAGAACCAAGAAAAACAAAAAGCAGGAGGAGCCTCAGGTCGACACGGGAAGACACGGTGTTGTTAGATAGAGCTGGAGAACGATTCCTGAAGGGAGAAGACGATACGGTATCGTAACTCCCAGTAGACGAGCGGAAGAAGGTGCCGAGCGCGGAGAAGAAGCCAGCAAGCCGCAACCGCACCACATGTATGGTCACCGGCCCCAAGGCGAGATCATGATGCGTGAGAGTACCAGGGATGCAGAGTAATCCTTAACATCAGGATCAAGGATGACACCAGAAGGCTGTATGTTAAGGAAAGCATACCAACTCAGCTCTTGGCATCAAAACATTACCGGAAATAGGGATGGGGGCGCTGCGATAGCGGCGATCGATCGATAGTGAGATCGATGGTGAACAAAAATACTGGATACACATGGATTATTAACACTTGTTCACACTACTGGCAACAATTGGCACAACATGACAACACCAGGAAAATCGATATGAACAAGAAGTGGCATCGCCGGCCGCCAATATCGATAACTCGATCGTGGTGAGGTTCGGTGGTTCTGCCGGACACGAGAAGGCGGGAAGTTTAAGCATAAAGCTGGTGACGAGGAGTAGACGACAGCAGATGAAGGAAGCTGGAGAAGGGCGTGAGGATCAAGATGCCGAGTCAAGACGCTAAACGACAGGCTCTGCTAGCTTAAGATCAAGCACGTGCAGGTCGATGGGAGAAGTCAGAAGCGACGTATATGGAGTTCGTTACAACCCGTTGTCGTTATGTGAAAGATCCTCCTGAAAGACGTAAGGACCTTCCGCGTTCAGCAAACCGATAGCAGTTCTTGAGCACATTTTAGTACAAATAGCTTTACGTAGCTATCCCGGCAAAAAGCAGGAGATGCACTTCCTAAGATTAATAAACTCAGCGCACTGTCACTATTCATAGACGACCAAGGCATCTTGAGGCTAAGAAACGCATTGCAACTCACCACTCGACACGTGCACGTGCTTGATCTCAAGCTAGCAGAGCCTGTCGTTTAGCGACTTGACTCGGCATCTTGATCCTCACGGCCTTCTCCAGCTTCCTTCATCTGCTGTCGTCTACTCCTCGTCACCAGCTTTATACTTAAACTTCCCGCCTTCCCGCCTTTAGTACAAATAGCTTAACATATTTCTGAAGGAGCTATCCCGGCAAAAAGCAGGAGATGCACTTCCTAAGATTAATAAACTCAGCTCACTGTCACTATTCATAGACGACCAAGGCATCTTGAGGCTAAGAAACGCATTGCAACTCACCACTCGACAACGTAATCCCATCATCCTTCCCAAACTACACTAGTATATATATGGTCTAAAGTAGTTGAAGGTCCGATGTAGGCTTATTTGATTCATCCTTTGAGAATGCCATTATGGTCCTGAGTTGGGATGGCTCCACAAGCTTGTTTACTTGCATCTGTTGTAATGCATAATTCCTTTGTTGTTTCAAGTAGTCGAAGCTTCTTGATATTGTGATGTCCTTTCAAATTAAACTGATATTTTGGAGAGACTTATTATACTGCTCATACTGATTCCTTACTTGTGACTATTTTGACTTTAATACAAAAGAGGTTAACTAAATATATACGATTTTGTGTTGTGGTCTGTCATTTACAAAAGAACCATCTGACCTTTTTTTCGCGGTAGTCCCACGGTCTCGCCTGTCGCCCAAGCGACCGAACCGATCTTAAAATTTTGACTCATTCTTGGCTATTGATTAAGTACGGCTCGTGTATTTGGTCACTGTAAGCAGTAGCCCATCAATATATGCTTGAGCCAGTTTAAAAGCAGTGCTTGTTTTTTTTTAATAGATTGTGATGCTTGTCATCAGTTACGATAGGGGCAGACTATATTATATGTATAGATTTGCCCAACCTGATCAACCGTCAGGGTGCCATGGTGTTATGTTTTATCAAAAGCTGGTTAATAATGTCAGCGTTTTTGGTCTTTATCTCTTACAGGGTAAAAATCCAAATATAAATTATGACCCTTTCCACCTTTTTTATGATAATTATAATCTTTTTAGTTATGTCTCGTTGTATGGAGTTCCTTCTGAGTCGAACTATAATAAATTTCCTGTCCAATTTTTATTTGTAATTCAAAGTGTGCTGGGGCATATCGATGAAGTTCCCCTTAATGGTTTTAAAACTTACAACATTGCTTACAACCAATAAACAAGCATTATGTACTGGTCGGCCTCGACCAGTTGATATTCCATTGTATTGATATTCCAAAAACATTTAACGCCCACAAATAACAAAACACTGTCTCACTCACGCTTAAAAATTTAAAAATTTTTCATTCAATTTTTTTTTCAATTTTAATCATACGGGTGATTTATAAAGAGCTATAGAAAAGTAAAAAAAAAATAAAAACGCGAAATGCAAAAAAATTCACGAAATCTGTATTTGAATTGATAATACGATCCACATAATTTAATGTTTGAAGATTATTTCATGCAAGTGTTACAGCGCTTCAAATAGTCCATCCGCATAGTTCAATTTTGGCGTACTCTTTCCAACAACCGTTAACTCACGAATATGCTTCAATGTTATCTTCCAATGTGTCTATTAAAGTGGTCTTGAATCTATAGAGCTGAGCTTTAACATAGCCCCACAACAAATAGTATGAATCGCACGATCTAGATGCTCAATTTACCGTTGCCGAAGGTGAAATGAAATTTTAACCGAACTCTCCTCTCTGCGTGCTGTGCGGAATATAGCACTGTCTTATTGCAACCACATGTCTCTTGCTCTTACATATTGGGCAAAAAAAAGTTGCATAGCATCGCACGGCAGCGCTCACCACTCATAATTACGTCAAGATTCTCATTATATTTGAAGATGATGCACCCAGTCCATAAGCCGCACCAAACTTTGACATTTTCTGGATGCAGCGGTAGCTCTTTGTGGTTTAATGTCTAAGAATGTAAATTTGTTGCGAAATTTAGTCACAATAGCCTGAATAGCCCCTTTAGTGAATCAATTAAACTGACAATAAAATGCAAGAACTGCACAATGAATGTTCTTAATAATAGGTACTAGTTAAAAAATCCCCCTTTGTATGCCAACAGTATTCTGATTGTCAAGGCATAGCCTCGAAATAGCAATAGTCGACTATAGTGTTCTCTCTTGATTTTAAACATATAATTTATCTCAATTTCCTTTAATACACTATTTTCAGTAAACATTCAGCATCCTAAACAATACGGACAAGAAAAGACTAGCAAGCCATCTGGGACCATTACATCACCACGTACACCCTGGATATTCACAAATGCGGGATCTCAACGACCTGCGCGCACTTCCAACGCGATAGTTGCGTTTGTTACATCTTTTCGGTTGTTTTTATGGAGTGTGTATCACTCTTTAGCCAGGGATGCAAGAAGAGTTTCTTCTGTGGTTCACTAAAGTTATTATTTTCAAAAGAAGACCATTTTTGAAGCGGTATGTATATTCAAATTTTGTATGATTTTAATATTATTATATAGTAAGTATAACATTTATAAATTTTTGGTTTTTTCAATGAAGTTTAAGTCACTTTCAAGCGAGATTGAGCCACATTATTTACCCACCTCAGTACTATGAACTAAAGTAGTTTGCATAAATTTACCATGTAAATCTTCATAAGTAAATATTTTGGAATGTGGCTTTAAAACACTGCTAGGCAATTATAAACCTTTCTTCATACCCTTTTTCCAGAGATCGAGGTTTCGATTTCGTCGTTTAAAGTCCTATTTCCTGATGTACTTTCTAGCAAACTTCAAGATTGTTGATGTTGCTAATTTATACTTCGGGGACATTGCCTTCGTTGCCTCGGACAGTTAATAATAATAATAATAATAATAATAATAATAATAATAATAATAATAATAATAATAATAATAATAATAATAATAATAATAATAATAATAATAATAATAATAATAATAATAATAATAATAATAATAATAATAATAATAATATAATAATACTAATAATAATAATAATAATAATAATAATAATAATAATAATAATAATAATAATAATAATAATAATAATAATAATAATAATAATAATAATAATAATAATAATAATAATAATAATAATAATAATAATAATAATAATAATAATAATAATAATAATAATAATAATAATAATAATAATAATAATAATAATAATAATAAAAATTCTTCAAGAACTCGGAACTTTGTGCAGTCCTTCTTGAAAGTCAACTAGTGGGCTCAATCACATTTGGATTACATTAGACATTTCCGATTTCCTTGGTCTGACTCATGATGGTGGCATTAATAGTGGCAATGAAATACAATTTTTAGACTCGAAATGAAACTGTGCGTCCAGGTGTCTGATTGTTTCTGATCCCATCGACTTCCAGTTGGACCAATGGAATCTACTTAAAGCGATTTATTTGACGAACACGAAATCAATCTCGTAAAAACATCTTAGGGGCTTTTATGTTTAACGAAATAGTTCAGGATTCTTGTTTTAAGGTATTCGCAAAATTGTTACCTAGATGAATATCAATTACTCCCCTATAAAAACCTCTCGAGTGGTTGTGTAGGCGGACGGACGACTGCACCACTCCCCATTTTGAAAAGAAGCAAATTACTCAGCCCTGCTTCAAAACACAATCGAATCTTACCTAACACTAGAGCACTTAATGGTTGATATGGTATCGCTTACGCTTACTTTACTGCCGATAGTTATTACGAAATATTATTATTGGGAGTCAAATCCTTCTGACGCAAATCCTTCTGGTGCCACGCAAAGGCTTCATATGCATGGACCTGGACAATAACCCGGCTCAATGACGGTAGCCTGACCCAATGGTTATTGTGAATCCAATCTGGGTGTCAGCGAACCTTCTCAGTTCGTAGAGCCCTATTTGATCCGTTCTCGTGCGAGTCCCCCAACCCTTCTACCATGTTGAAGATCCTCAACAAATAACCATTGGAGTGCCAGTGTCTGCTTATATGGCCGAAGGTATATCTCATCTCATTTCTTACTATTATCGTTTTCGGAATTTATTAATATTCTTGATTAGGATTAACAGCCGAAACTTCCTAGCCGTATCATTTTTTAAGTCTACGTGGACGTCTATATATTTAAAATCACATGCATGTTTTGATAAGGCATGCACATTTCACTTGATTAGTCAGAACTTCTTATCTGATTAAAAAAAAAGCGATAGATAAGCTTTTTGGAAGTACTGTCAATTATAAACGGATATCCCTTCTAGCAAGCAAATTTTAGTTAAAAGAGTAATAGGACTCGAGGAACTGGGCAAAAGAATTTGTTTATGCTTTGATTTAACCTTATCTATTTAAAAGTGTTGGTTTTGTTAAAAAACCTCATACTTCACCTTTTTAACTAAAATTTAAAATCTTTTTAAAATTAGAATTTCACATTTTGTAACGTTTCTAATAATTCACCCTTTTTGTATTTTAGCGCAATTTTACACTCCGCATCACTGTACTGCAAATGCTTCAGGAATTAACGACATTAATATCCGAGCAATAAATTTTATATTATGAACAACGATGCATTATTATAAATGCATTAATCAGGGAGCATACTTTTAAATGACAACAATCAATTATTTTTATTTATATGTATTTATAGTTTTAAATAGTAATTTGTTAGAAAATAATGAGTGAATATCTTTATTTTTTAATTCTAATTGTTAATCATTATTAAAATTAAATGTATACATGAATATATTAACAATATTGTATCTATAAAAATTACCGTTTAATTACTCAGAAAGAAATTACAGGACAATAAAGTACTAAATATACAAATTTACTATATAACACGAAGCAGAGTTTAACAAATTTTATTAATGAAGAGAAATAAAATAAGTTTATCAAGTTTAAAATAGGTTTTTTTGAAATATTCGATTATGGTAGTTTATGGCACAGTCGGGTGAGTATATATGTCACAAATTACGGTAGTAAATTGAGTTTAAACTTATAACATTACATTATTGAAAGTGCAATAGTACTACATTATTTCCGGCCTTTAGCTTAACGTTTCCTTAAGTTATTTCGAAAATGGTTAGCGTCAACTGATTATACGCCCGTTCGGCTGCATTATGTGTCCGAAAACCGATTGGTTCCACTATTATTTTTAGTTCGTCTATTATTGGCCGACAAGGCCGTTTGATCTCTTAAACTATTCATTGATATAAATTACCTCTGACTGTAGAAATAAAAAAGTTGTTCTTTGTCAGAGATTCAAAGGGAATTGATGTACCCATGTCCGTGTCCTTTATCGAGATAAGAGCTCAACAATGGAATTAAGCTTGAAGATACCAGCAATAATAGCTCGTTTCAAAAGAATGCAATGCCGACTCTAACACCCAACTTAACGACAACATCTTAATCCAAACAATTAATAACTGAGTGGTGCTTGAGTGCAATGTCATAATATATCTTCGCTCCCTTGCTTGTTCTTTTCCTGGTTAGTAAACGAATATTAAAAGTTGTAACAAATTAGTCTGCTGGCTACGAGATACGTGCGGTTAGCCGGTTAGCCCAGAAGATTCTGTGTGTATGTCCCACCAAAATTATATTGAACGTGATCAGCTGATTACAAGTAACAACACTTAATGCAACAATAGTTCTTGTTTCCTTTATCTGTCAGTGCCACTAACGCTCCGTGCAAACGCTCGGGTTACGCCGCTATCTCTGTAGCAAGACGCCTGGTGATAGACGAACGTTCCACCGTAACCTGTCTTGAAGCTGGTGCGGACGTACCTGGACTGGTTTGCTCGACGGTCTCATTTCTGCTGTCCTGCCGCCTTCGTTGTCCTGGATGGTGCGAACTGCGCTGCTGGGTTCTCGACACCAGGGCTAGGAATTACCGTCGTAGCTTACGGTAGCTAACGGATGCGTCCTCCAGGCAAGCTCCGGCAACAACACGTTAACCCCACGTCTGCTCTGACCGGTCGCGCCGGTACCACGCCTGTTCGGTTCTTACGAACGCTCCAGGTAGCCGTTTGGTTTACGTACGCAATCTCCGACACATTTGACAATCCCGCCACCCACGCGGGTTCTTGCTAGGATTGGACCCGCCTGTTAAAACTCTATCGGACTCGCCCGGCCAACGCCGGGGTCTGGTCTAGATTCGCGGTGTAACACGCCACGCCACGCCACGATCAATGCGCCCCATTCCCTAGGCATTGATGAAACAAGGCATTGATATAAACAAATTGATTTTTCCATTTCCCGATAAATTTGATGAGCGAAAATGTTTTATCTTTGTTTAACATTGTTTTTTCCTTCCCTGCAGCATCATGTTGCATTGCGATACTGCTGTACCGCGGTACAGCCCTCCCCTTTCCACGGGAGTATGTAGGCTTCTTGGATTCGGTAATTGCATTACTCCTTCACCCCATTTAGTCCCGACACGCTTCCGTTAACTCCGGCTTCGGCCTGATGCTGAAACGGTCGCCACTGCTTCTTGTATTTGGGAATCGTTGAGTGTCCCTGTGCCTGACGTTCCTCTCTTTAAGCTTTTCTGGGATTCTTGTGTTTGTGTGGTAGAATCAGCATTCCGACTTGCTCCCTAAATGTTCCCGTTGACTCAGGCTTTGGCCTGACGCTGAAACGGTCGATTTGCTCCGTCCAATTCTGGATCCTCTTGATTACTTCCCACCCGGCGGCATTGATCTTCTTGTCTATGCTAGGTAGTAAAACCTGTTGACTGTGGTGGCCAGACGAACAAACAGTTGTCTTTCTCCATTCCCTTTCTAGATCTTGCTGTGTTGGGTGTGTCTGTGTGATGCAGTATTCCGGTTTGCTAGCGCCATGTCTCCGTTGACTCCGGCTTTAGCCTCACGCTAAATCACTGGCGATACAAAATCCACAATCTGGTATGGCCCATCGAACATCGGTGCGAGCTTTGTTCTTTGGCCCAAACCACCTCACCACTCCATGGCTTCCATTGCCTTCTTCGATTGTAGTGCCTTGCCTGGTCATTGGAAACTTTTCCAGTTTTCTCCGTACTATTTCAAAAATCTCCTTCATACTCTCGGTGGTTCCTTCCGAAGACTCTGGCTGCGTTCTTGTATCTAGTGTTGCTTTGCCTTATGCCGCGTTCGGTAGCCTTGCCTTGCGTCCATGTGTCAAAAACGCCGCTGAGTAACCCGTAGATTCGGTCACCCTGGAATTTACAGCCAGTATGATTTCAGACCATTTTTCATCCCTCTCCCTCTGGTTTTGCCAGGCGAACTGCGCTATCTTCACTTCACTTTGCGGTTCGCTCTCTCCGTCGGATTCTGTTGTATGGTGCCATTAACTGCAGCTTTATTCCCATAACGCCGATAAACTTCTTGAAGTTCCGGCTGGTAAAATGCAAGCCGTTATCCGTGATTACCACTTTCGGAACGCCAAACCTCCCGACTATGCGTTCCCTTAAGCCTTTTTGCAACTTTTCCGCCGTGGCTCTTCGCAAGCGTACCACCTCCGTCCATTTCAAAAATCTGTCGATCAGCACCAACAACATACATTCCCGGCTAGTAGTACCGGGCTGCCACTCGAGCTATTATCTTGGCCGGTTGATAGGGAGTCATAATTCTTTCCTTAGTTGCCACGGAACACACAGGTCGCCACATCTTCATTCCCTGCTCTATGGAGAATCTGCCTATACAGGGTGTTAACTTCCCATACATAGTCTGGGAACTTAAGAGCATGTACCTTTATTTTCTGCATTCTGCTTTGGCCCACCACTTTCAACTGGCCTTTCTGTAGGCAATCTCAAAGACGTATTGCTGTAGCTCTAGTGCACACCACGCAATTCTTCCCTCCAGGTATGGCTTTAACTTTTAAACTTCCCACACAATTGTCAAGCACTCCTTCTCTATTGTTGAGTAGTTTTTTCTAGGCACAGTTTAGGGACTTTCACGAGTATGGGATGACTTGCTCGCGCTCTTCGGTGTCCTGTGTGGTGCCGTAGTCACTGGCGTCAGTTTATATCTTTCCAAAGTCTCTTCACTTCACTTCCTTAATGCCCCCTTGAATATTTCTATATTTGAGGTAATATCTCTGCTTAGTCGGGTTATCATCTTTCATGGTATCGTGTGCTCGGTCATACTTGATGCTCCAGCCATAGAACAAAAGTCCGCGAGCTCTGGGAATTTTTCCACGTCTTCTTCTTCACCGTCTTTTTGGACCACTGCGACCGACAACTTCGATCCACCGGTTGTGTCTGTTCATGGCCGTTATCCGAGTTTCGTGACCGGGATTTTTTTCACGTTTTCTTCTTTGCCGTCTTTATGGACCACTGCGACCAACAACTTCTCCTCGATCCAACAGTTGTCCCTGTCCTCGATCCAACAGTTGTCCCTGTCCATGGCCGATATCCGAATTTCGTGACCGGCGCATCTGTTTCCGGCCCAGAATCCAACTTCTGCTTCGACTTGTGCACTGATCTCGCCGCACCTTCCATCTTATCGAGCTCTACATAAAATCGGTTTATTTGAGTGAAGTAAATGGTTAAAAATATAAAATAAATAATCCAATATCGAAAGAGAGGCGCTGATTTATTAAAAAAAAAACAATTATTAAATAATAAAAATATGAGGCAGAACGCCAATCGCGTTCAGCGTAAGCAAGACGAACGCCGGCTCTCAATTCAACGAAACAACGCGTACTTTTCTTACTTCCCCGTGACAACTGGAAACGCAGACAGCGAGCGCTCAATAACACATTGCCCAACGAACCTTCTTTTACCAACAAATTAAGAAAGAGCGCGCTCTTGTTCTCCCGTACTTCTAGTTCCGATTCAAATCCCGCTGTTTGCAACAACAGCTGGAGCAATATCGACGCCCACTCAATTTCGTCGCCGACTGCACCCGCTTACGCTCTCACTCAGCGAGTCAGCGAAAACAAAAGCGCAAGAACCAAACGGTACTGCTGCACTACCAGCAAAACAAAACGCAAACAATAAAGTTGGGTCGACCAACAGACTGGAATGAACAGCTACATTACAATAAAGAGAAAGCTTAGCCCGAAAAATTCCGATGCAGAGAACATTCTGAAAAATATACGCGACAATACTACCCTGATCAATAATATACCACCCGCAAATACCAACAGATTCGCTTTGCTGGCAGATACCTCAGAGGTCAGTCCACTGGAATGAGCTGAAATAAAGCCACAATATCACAAGCTGTCTGGTAAATACTCTGATTGGCCTTATTGGAGAATATAGCTTTCATATAAGTATAGTAGTAAGAGGTACTATTAATAAAATAAAACTTTAAACGAAAATGGAGAACAACCACAGAAAGGTCAGACACTACCTTACTGTTAACAAAGTATGCTTCTACATCTACTAGCTTTAAAGCAGCAAAGGCCTACAAGTAGTATTAAAGTCTGAGTCTGATGAGTCTGAGGGGCTAAAGAAAAAAGGATTCTGCGGCAGAAGCGTGTTCAATATCAAAAACAGAAACAGCCCCAACCATTCCTTAAGATTGTGCTTGAACCAGAAGACATCTTAAAAAAACGAGGTTCTTCCAATTTATAAACTCCAGATCCTTCTGCACGGCAAGATCAGAGTAGAAGGGCCGCATAAACGAAA